AAATTGCTTACTATTGCCTTAAACTCCGTATTATACTAAAATCGACGTTATTCAGCTATTTACTACAATATATATATAAATGTATATATTGCACTTATAAATCATAAAAATTGTAATCATGATATAAATAAGGATATAGAAGATCATGTAGCTTTTAGAATAAACCACCTTATTCTAAATTAAACACTACCTACAGAATTGCATCGAAGCGTCTTTTATGATAGTGATTTTACTTGACCCAACTATGCCACGTCACCATTGTGCCGCGACCCCCTGTGATGTTTTTTTTTAGTTATACTACTTTTTTGATGTTAAAATTTTTTAATTTTTAGATTCGCATACTCGACAATCGGCGGTCTCTAATAGCGCCTATTTAATCGTTAATCAGCATCTCAATTCTATGATTAATCAGAATACGTTTTCTATATAATATAAATAATTTGGGAACCGATAATGTTGACTATTATAAACAATAACTATCCGATAATTATAGTAACGATTGTAATTATACGATTAGTATAATTACTTGTAGTTTGACGATTTAACGATTTATGAATATTGAAATATTAAGATATGGGTAAAACATTAAATTTTGCGATTACTCTGGTGTAGATAAATTAAAAATAATATTGACGTCCACGTACCCTTAGAAGAGATGACTAGAGAAGCTAGTAAAATCATCGAAACTGGCCTGAACATTTTCTCTGAAAAGCGTAATACATGTTAGAAAGATTGCTGCCGACGTGATTATATTTCATTAAATAAAATTGCACAGGTAAGACGTATTATTTATGACGACACGTCGTCTTNCAGGTAAGACGTATTATTTATGACGACACGTCGTCTTTTTTAACACGCTTATATTAGTTTCACATGTATGTTGTTTGTTTGTTGTATGTTGTAAGTTTGTAACTCCACGCGGCACGTGTTATTATGTCACGTATCCCGTCGTGTATGACCTTGAGACTATACTGTCGTAACGCATTCGCCCCACCCCGCTCACCCCTCGTACCAACAATATTTTCCAACCCGTAGACGCGCGCGTGGGTGCTTTGTGCCATATTTTTCGTATATTGAGCGCCCCATGCTTTTATCACAATAATACTAACATTTTTCGTTCATTTTTGTTTTAAGCTTATTTTAAAAATTATTTTTAACTTTTTAGTTCGATGTGATTTAAAAGCGTGTTTTTTTAAACTATATTTATTAAATACTGTATGTTGTTAGTCATAAACAACGTCATTCATGTTACTTGTCATAAACAATACGATTTACGTTACTCGTCATAATAATGTAACTTATGACAAATAACGCATGTGTTTAACGCATGTCGTCTATTTGGACGTCTCGAAATGAATTTATCGTTACAAAGTTAATCGCGATCGATGACAATACTAACAAGCTAACAATACTCACCCGATGAAGCGGCTTTAACGCTGATAAGTAGTCAGTAAAACTCGTTCTTTTACCTCGCCGTCGATGGAACTGGCAAGATACGCGTCGACGGATCTATATAGCGTCGCGATCGACATGTTTGAACAGTTTTTTCGATTGATTTGAATTATTTGTGTACGTGTACAGTACTCGGAGTGCGAACATTAACATTGACGTAACTAGGATTATATATATACAGGGTGTAACTCTTTCGAACCATAGTATTATATGGGCGAGTATCCTGGTAAAATGTAAAATAGGACCTCGTTTTTTTTTCTTTTTTTCCAAAAATGGAGGAATTGTGGAATAACCCCTTCGAATTTCTCTAAAATTAAAAATAAATCATATCAGAATATTTCCCGAAAAATTCTCATACAAATTGAGTGGTCACACGATTTTTTGTAACTTTTGCGCCCACCCCTCAACTTTGGGTTCAAAGTTGGAAAAAAATTTCACATTAGTATGACCCATCATGTTGTATTGAAATTTTACTGGGAGTCCTGTGATGTAGTTTATTTTTAGTTTAAACGATTAAATAACAAGAAAAACCGAAAAAACCCACAAATAATGTAGATAAATAATAATAAAGTACAAGGTTAATTTAAAAGATATTATGTAATCATTGCTACGTACGTTCTATGAACATATTTTAAGTAGAATTTCTTTAATACGTATCAAATTGTTATTTGGGGTGATACGTTTAGACAATTAATCCTAAAGGATTATTATATCAGGTCCTTACATATTTCTAACCGGTTTAAGTTATTTTTATTTAAAATGTACATCCATAACAGTAAAAATATAATTTTAGAAACTAATTAATTTAAATGGTTAATTTAAATAAATAGATATTTCAAGCATACTGCAGGCGTCCTTTTTAATAATACGAAAAATTAATCTTAGTATTTATTGTTGAAACTCGTTTTGAAAAATGGAAAATATAATAAGTTAAAAATTGGTGATAACACTACAGGGCCGAGTAAGTAAAAATTCAATTATTGTTTAAATAAATAATATAAAATATTAATAGTAATAATAGTTGAATTTTTTTTATTAAGATACTGAATAAGAAAGAATCTGTAGTCACAAAAAACGATAAATGATAAGAGGATAATTCGTACAAAGAACAATTTTTATAGAACTTAATGTGAACAAAAAGTAAGGTAATATATTATTTTTTTGTAAAAATAAGAAAAATCAGTTTCATTTAATTTTTTAAAAAAAATGACATAGTTTTCAGTTATACTTTTCCAGTGTCTTAAATTTTAATTGTACGCAAACATTGCACAAAAATAATATTAATCACCGTGATATCTTCTATAAAAAAGGTTATTTGAGTTTTTTTCGAATTATGAATCCTTTCCAAATAAAAATTTAAATCAACTACAAAAACGTGTTTTCTTTTAAAATTTTTTTTGCATATATGTTTATTTGTTCATAAATTAACAAATTTTCTTAGTTATATTAAATAAAAAAAAAAAATAAGAAATAATAAAATAATAATTATAATAGACGAGTGTTTAATAGTTTGGAGAAAAGCGCGTATTCCTACACAGTATTCTTTATACTGTGTTAATAAATTTAAAAAATTGTATGAGAATTGGAGAAAGTTGGACAAAAATAAATCTAGAAAAACAGAAACAAAAGAACAACATTATAATATTTTTTCTGAAGAATTAGACAACCTCTTTGACATTTCTTATATCAAAGCTCCGATAATGATGAGTATTAAAGAAGACAAACAGTTTTTATTGTCACAACTTAAAAAAGGCCGCCAGGGTTCATGCTTGGTATAGATATGAAGATAACAGGTATTGAAATACGTAAAATTACTCGACAAAAAGAAGAATATGATCGAAAGAAAAAAGAGAAGTTAGAAATCGCAAATTGTACAGGTAATTATTAAATATTACACAATAATTTCAGTACATTATAAGTAAGCAGTTTTTATATGCCGAAGTATTTTATTATTTAGCCGAAACTCAATATTATAGCAGCTCTAGCTCGGAGAAAGAAGATATTGATATGGAGGAAATCGTTGAAGGAATGAGTCAATGACCTGGGCATTCAAAAGAAGTAAATGCACTAGAAGATATATGTTGTTTTGTAGTTGAATGTTATATTAAAATGTGGTTTTCAGCTGCGAATATTATAACAGCTTCTATAAATTATTTAATGTTATTAAAAAAGTTATTAAATTACAGTAATAATAATCTAGGAGAAATAGCTATAAAAAAATTTAAACCATTTATGGTATTTAAATGATGAGTGTTTTCTTTATTTGACGATCGACTTGATATTAATACTTCACAGCGAATGGCAAAAAAATATTAAAAGGTTATGAACAGAGCACGAATGAAGAACCAGAAGAAAATGAAGATTCCGATAAAAAATTAATTTAAAAATATGAAAATTTATCAGATATTCTAGAAAAAGATCTTCCTTTTTCGTTGCTCAGCAACAATTCATGGAAATTATTCAAGCGATTTAAATTAAAATTCAAGTTTTTATGTGAAGATCCTACCACATGGGAAATAAATAATGAATACAATAACGCCAAAGAAATATTATCCCCGATAAAAATAGTAAACGACAAATTTACAATGGATGAATATCAAAAGCAATTTATATTACAAGTATGAAATTATATAATAATACTGCAAAATTTTAAGATTTAAATTACTATATTTGTATTATAATCTTTACTTTGGACTATTTTTGGTGGTTCAACAATATCGTCAGCTGTATCCCAGGTGTAGTCGAGAAATTTTGAATAAAAAATATTCGAATTAGAAAAACTATTATTGTGCTAAACAATTATNTCGAATTAGAAAAACTATTATTGTGCTAAACAATTATTATTTTATTATTTCTTATTTTTTTTTTTTATTTAATATAACTAAGAAAATTTGTTAATTTATGAACAAATAAACATACATGCAAAAAAAATTAAAAAAAAAAAACACGTTTTCGTAGTTGTTTTAAATTTTTATTTGGAAAGGATTCATAATTCGAAAAAAACTCAAATAATCTTTTTTATAGAAGATATCACCAATACATTTTCTTGGGCATTCAACAACGAAGTATTATCACATGGTATATTTTTGATCCTTTTCTATTTGTTATAATTTGTTTTGCATATGTAAATTACTTTATTATGTTATGGGCTATGACTATTTCGTCATCCTCTTATTTTTTAGTTAATGAC